TCTCTGTAACATTTTATTTCTATTTGAAAAGGTCTTTATGAGATGTAAACCCAGTATTGATGACTAGCAACAGGGTGATTTGTTTTTATGATGAAGTGCTTTATGCCAAAATTGATCAGGAAAATGTCACTTTTAGCAGTGGTTGTGTGGTGTGGTTGCTAAACAGCAGGTGGTGTTAGGGTGTGGTGTGAAATGTACTATGAATCTTCCAGAGAAAAATGCTAGTTTTGGGCTTCCAAAAACACTCAATGAATTTTTTGTACACCTTGCACATGTACAACATCAGCAGAACAGATGGCCTGTATAATATTCCAATACCTGGTCTCGATGAATAACTGGCAGCAAAATATGATATTATTTTGCCCCTTAAGTCCTCTTGTCATAAGTTTTTACAGCATCATTGTGTAACAGTTAAAATGCGACCAATACCAATGTCATAAGGCTTATTTAACAAGCAAATGTGCATGTTTTCGGGCCTTTTATCAGGTAGATCAGGTAACAGCTATGGTATGTTAGAGGCCAAATACTAGTAATGCAAAGTCGTTATTTGAAACACTGTTAATGGAAGCCCTTAACTAATAAAACGATATTTTAAAGGATGATGTCACTGTAAGCCAAGCTATGAGGTTAACTCAGTTTCAGTTTCAGTTTATTTATTTAACCAGAAGATACACTCAGATTTGACCTGTTTTTCAGGTAGATCTGGGTACAATAAAAATGCAGAAACAATACAATGATAACAACACAGTACATAGCACATAATAGCCATACAGCAGTACAAATACAATATAATTACAATGAGTTTTTGAAGGCCGTTACAGTTCGGAGCTTTCTCTGTTCTATTGTGAGCTGGTTCCACAGCACTGGACCCTGGTACTGCAGGCTCCCTTTGTATGTGTTAATGTTTGCCGGTGGAACAACCAGCATGTGAGGGTCCCAATTTGCTAACTGGTTTATAGCTAACCTCGTCCGTCTGTTCAACATTGGGGGTGGCATCCACTTACACATTTCAGACAAGTAAGGCGGCATTTTCTTGTTTAGTACCTTAAAAACCTTAAAAACTCCTGTTGCCCTCTCTCTGTAACATCTGTAAAGTTGTTTGGTGCTAGCAACATGAAACTTTGAAGAGTTTAACTTTGAAACTATGAAGTGAGTATCAAGGACAAAAATCAGTTCCCTGAACCAGAAGCAATTTCGTTGGGGGCGTTTTACTTCAGCCATGGCGGGTTGTCGTAAATTGTATGAATGCCAAATACTACTAGTCAGATTTTAGTCTTTGGTACGCACCATTATCTATATCTGTACAAGGCTATCAGCCCCCTTTGAGTGTCCCATGGCCAGGCCTGTTCCAGTCTATCAATTCATTTTGAATAGCTACAAGACCATTGCCAGACCTGTACAAGGCTGTTATGGTTTGTAGCATTACGCAATCACGCAACCACATGTGTTAGTGACTCGTTCCCAGGTTTCGACATCAAGGGCTAAAATAGAGATTTACCGAATCCCGGTATAGTGGAATGTTTCGCTAACAATCACCCCTTGCACACCCCTCTTCTTGCTCGTATGTTTATATTGTTCCGATTCTTATAAATTTAATTTTGTTTTGGACAATATACGAGATATTGATCGTCCTACGACAGAAGTACGAAGAAGTGCAGTACGCAATCATCCCCTATGTGAGACTCCCTTGAAACTCCTTTGTTATGCTAAAAGCTAGAGTAACATGTAAACAAACATGGCGGCCCGGTTGTAATTAAATGTCAGTACGGCAGAATATCGGTCGTGTGTTCTGAAGTATTTTAGCGGGATTTGCACCGAGTTAAGAGAGCAGACAAGCATAAGGGACAACCATAAACCTGGATGAAAACGTATATAATCGCGCAGACGACGGGAGATTGGTGTCTGGTTCGGTCAACAAAATCTTATATTGTGAATGCAGTAAACTGAAAGAAACGAATGAATGATTGGTTGGTTGAACGAACGGAAAAGTGAAACGTGTCCCTTGCCTATGCCTACGAGTTCTGCACACGACTCGCACACAGTAGACAGTTGTTGCACTTCACAAATCGCCAGAGGTCGCTGCTACACGGTACATCTGTCGGATACGGTGTCAATACGTTTCACCGACGTCAGGGCGCTTTGCAGTGAATGGGACGCATATTTCCAACTCTAACCCTAATCATAACTTCAATTCTAACCATAGCGATAACCAAAACAACGGCTAAAAACATGGGACGGCGAAACATAAAAGAAGATGTTGCTGTGAGTGACTTAATTTATAAATTTTGTACAAAGGTTCATTACAAAGGAAGGCACTTCGCAGCAACATTCCCGAAAACGCCGCCGAAATTGCGGTTTCCTGTTATGGTTTGCCGTCGCATGTTTTATAGCTGAAATTTTTGTTGTCATGATTATCGCTATTGTTAGAATTAATCAGTGTTAGAGTATGAAATAGTCGTTCCTTTGACTGAAAAACCTGACGTCGGCGAAACGTCAGGACGAAACCTGGCCGATGGACAGTGTAGCAGTGGCCTCTAGCGATTTGTCTCCAAACTGTAGGGTCACATTTACCTGTGGCTGACGTAACTATGACGTAACTGTAGTAGTACACAACTTACCGTACAAGTATCAAAGCGCAAATCTACGCCGACTGAACACGCACCATAATTCAACTTTCACAGTCTCAAAACTGACGTATTCCTCTAACATTTACCACAGGTTCCATCTCGATGCCATGCACAGAACAATGTCTGCACCTTTCTCTAATATTGTGCAGCACTACTTTGTACCCGTACGGGGTTCACCCATGAATACTGTGTTGTGCGGTCAGAACAATTTAAGTCTCACGAACATGCAAATGACGTAATTTGTACCATCTAAATCTCACGAACATGGAAATGAGATAATTTTTATGCAGATCACGCCGTGTGGCGCTACACATGTCCATAAAACGTGACTCAAATGCTAAGTTATATATTGTGTAGTTTCTTCCGGTTCTTAAGAAGCCAACAAAATCTTATATTGTGAATGCAGTAAACTGAAAGAATGAATGCCAAAAAGCAGTTACTCAAGCAACTGGATATGATTTTGAAAACGTCAGACGTTTCAGCTAGTATCCACTAGCTTTCGTCAGTGACTGAGAGACCAGAGGGGAAAGCAGGTTTATAAGCACAAACTATTGATTGATATGCAAATAAAGTGAGACAATTTTTTGGAAGTCGAAAAAGGAACAAAAGTCAGACAAGTCAAGACAAGATAATGCAAATTAGTCAGAAAGCTCCTGTTATACAGAACAGGAGCTTAAGTGTTGTCTGTCCTCGGGGCTGGGATTTGGCACTCCCAGCCCGTTCCCAGCCCGTTCCCAGCCCGTTCCCAGCCCGTTCCCACCCCGTTCCCAGCCCGTTCCCACCCCGTTCCCACCCGGTTCAGGAACAGGCACGTCCCATGTTTTTAGCTAAAATTTTCTTGTTATGATTATCGCTATTGGTAGAATTAATTAGTGTTAAATAGTGTTAAATAGTCGTTCCCTTGACTGCAAAACGTTCTGACGTCGGCGAAACGTCAGGACGAAACCTGGCCGATGGACAGTGTAGCCGTGGCCTCTGGCGATTTGTCTCCAAACTGCAGGGTCACTTTTACCTGTGACTGACGTAACTATGACGTAACTGTAGTACTGCGGTTCGCCATGGCCTTTGTGATGAACCTTTGTACAAAATACCAAATTAAGTCACCCACAGCAACATTTCCTGTTATGTTTCGCCGTCCCATGTTTTTAGCCGTTGTTTTGGTTATCGCTATGGCTAGAATTGAAGTTATGAATAGGGTTAGAGTGGGAAATAGGCGCTCTCTTGACTGCGAAGCGCCCTGACGTCGGTGAAACGTATGGACACTATCCGACAGATGTACCGTGTAGCAGTGGCCTCTGGCTATTTGTCTCCAAACTGCAGGGTCACATTTACCTGTGACTGACTTAACTGTCAGTCTGAATCGCGTTAAAAGTCGCTAATAAACTAAAAGAGAAGGAACTGTCCGAAATTTTATTTCACATCCCCTAACTAGCACGCATCCCCTAAAACGGAGTGGTGAAGAGTTTATCATTTACAGACTATAGAAAACCAACGACAGAACCATGGAAAAGTTAATGAAAATGCATGGCATTCTGGAAAAATGAAAATTTGTACACCGATCAAGTAAAAATCCCAAACTCCAAGAGAGCCTAATTCTAGGCTCTGTAAACCGGAAGTGCGAAAAAAGGTTAGGGAAAAATCAATTCAGAGAGTCGAAAGGCTCCTATGGGGTTTTCAAAAATTTGTGAAAAATTTTGTGAAAAATTTCATATTGTGGCTTTGTGTAAGTATTTACACGCCTAAATATCATCGTTTTATTTTTTGTAAGCTTTGAGCGAATTAATTGGCGACAAGGTATCAAAATTAATGTTTTTCAAGGCTAGAAAAATATTCTATACTTAGCCTGATTTTCATTTATATAGTTCTTAGGCTTAATTTTTGTTTGTAAAATACAGGAATACATGCAAAAATAGCTCAATTCACACATTACAGTTCAGTATTTTTGGAAACTTAAACATTTCTAAATATGTTTTATACATATTTCCTAACAGTAACTTGGTAACCCCTATAGAAATTGAATGGTATAACCTAGTAGGTTAAAGGTTATATGTGAATGCGGAAGTGGGTGGGTCATTTTTGGATCGAATGAACCTCTGAAAGCCGGGGATTTACGAACTGTTTGGTTAAATTCTGTCAGCATGGACATTGCTAACACCTCCACAGCGGTGTGTTCGGTGTTAGCCGGCGTTCTGAGCTGTTATGTCGGTCTGAAGGTCTACAGGAGACAGCAGGTGAAGAAGAAGGCCTTGAAGAAGAGAGAAGAAAGTCGGAGAGCCTTGCAAGACGTTCTGAGATCTGTGGCTACTGACGATCAGGTGAGATTCTAGATCTGAACTGTCTTGATAAGGAAGACTTCACTTTTGTTTTAACAAATGTATCTAAATGGGTTTTCACTGTACAATGTTGTCTTCAAGGATGTCATAATATGTAACGTTACTAATGTCTTGTGAATACTTCATGTTAAATGTTTAGATTGCTGTCATTGCATATCTACATTCATAACAACAACTACAGCAACCTGTTGTTTTTAAGGCCCATCCACAATCACATGTAACTTAAACAATATATGTATTCAAGTGCTGTGTGTTTGTATAAATCATTCTTCACATATCTTATTTGGTGACTATAATTTTATAAGAAAACAAAAGAACCTCTCTCTCCAAAACTTCATGTTATCATCGTCTGGTAGAGTAGATGGCTACTTCAAATTTGTTATCAATGTTATAACAATCTGAACCCACAATTTACTAGATTTGTTAAATACCACAGCCAACAGCAGCCAAAAGGAGAGAGATCCTGTCCCTGACTCTGCCCCAACTCAGCCAGCAGCTGAGAGATGGACAGCTGTCAGCTGTACAGGTGCTGCAGGCATTCCAGGAGAAGGTGAGACATTCAAACACCTGCAAGAAAGGCTGTGATCATCCCAATATGATAATCTGAGTTTGTGGCAGTCTCCAATGCAGAATTATTAAGGCTGATATACATGTAGTACATGTAATGCAGTGGGATAGCTCTGCATTGTTGTTGATCTTGGAAACCTGGCTAAAAAAACGTATGTAAAGGGACCTGCAACAGTTCCAGTGTATGGAAGTATATTACATATATACGTCAGTGAAGGCTAGACATCCAGGTAATAAGATACGCCAAATAACTGTTACTCAAGTAACTGGATATGATTTTGGAAACGGTCAGATGCTACCTTTCGTCAGTGACACTAACAGACTGCAGGAAAAATGCAGGTTTATAAGCATGAACTATTGATTGATATGCAAATAAGTGAATACAAAATTGTAGGTATATTTGTTGGTCTACGTAGAGTAGTATATGTATGTTGTTTTGCTAAATCAAACAAACAGACTGTTTAAAAGCTTCATACTTTTATTTCCCACCACAGGCAACTACAGAGAACCAAAAGCTGAACTGCTTGACTGAGCCGGTGCCTGGTGCTTTGGTGGGTACATTGTGTTTTGCGCTCATGTGGAAATGCCATGTGGACATATCTTTTTTTTGTAAGTAAACCATTTGGTAATCCATGTCTTTGTTGTGTAGGCAGCAGCTCAAGGTTTGGATGCAGAAGGTGAGAAGACTGGACTGTTACATGGTGTTCCAGTGTCTATCAAGGATAATGTAGATATCAAGGTAAGAACACTGAGTATAGGATTAGAGTTTTCAACAACATCATCTTTTCCAACAGCAACTGTAAGAAAGTGAAAACCTACAAGTACATTATTTTCTGCATGTTGTGACGTAAAAAGAATGAATGACAAAATAAATGAATGAGTGAGTGAGTGAGTGAGTGAGTGAGTGAGTGAGTGAGTGAGTGAGTGAGTGAGTGAGTGAGTGAGTGATAGTGTAATGTTTTAGGACTATTTTTGTGTATTACACCTTGAGACACCTTGTGACAAAATGTTCTGTTCACCAGGGCATGGCGACCACCATGGGTGTGACAAAGCACCTGGACACACCTGCAGATGAAGATGCTGTTATTGTCCAGGTGCTGAAGAAACAAGGAGCCGTGCCTTTTGTCAAAACCAACATTCCACAGACTCTACTCAGGTACTGAGAAATCCCAGCTATCAAACATTTTTCATCCAGATTTAGCAGTGTGGTGTAGTTTCAAAATCAGCAACTACCCATACCTTTCTGCTATAATATACATGTACCTCAAGCGTTGAACTTAAGTTTGGGTATCGTTTTCCCTTCTTTGCTCCAGACCTACCAATAAGCGTGACCTAATTAAATAAAAAACAACTTTGTGTTCAATGTTTAAATGAATATTGATGTACAATTGTCTGCAAATCTCTGTACTCTATTCAGGTTGAATAAAAACTCTATTAAAAACAAGAACTATTTGACTGCAGATGTCTTACTGGTTATCTTGAGGATTGAATTCACTTTACTTTATACTGTATGTCTGTACTTTATAACACAGTATGGCCTGCAGCAACCCTGTGTTTGGAGAGACGGTGAACCCTGTTGACCCCACGCGATCCCCGGGTGGATCGTCAGGCGGAGAGGGAGCGTTGATCCGAAGCGGGGGGTCAGTTCTGGGCATCGGTAGTGACATCGCGGGGAGTGCACGCATTCCCGCACACTTCTGTGGAGTTTTTGGATTCAAGCCAACTGCATACAGGCTCAGGTAGGCTATACACATTCGTGTACTCTTCTTTTCTGAATCCATCCATCCATCCATCCATTCATCCATCCATCCATCCATCCATCCATTTGTCCATCCATTTGTCTATTCGTTAATTTATCCCTGCACTGAAGTTCACTCAATCATTCAGTCACATTCTGCACCTTTCCCCCATCTCTTGTAATATTTTCATATTTTGCAGTCCCAAAGGTTTCAAAAGCAGCTCTCCTGGCCAACAGGGAGGTAGGTGAAGTATTTGTCTGGTATCTGACCTCTGGTATCCAACATCACAGATTTTTGTTTGTTTTACAAAATATAATGCTTAAGATGACAAGGTGTTGGCTTCCAGTCAAATCAACAAAAGTCATTGATTGAGGCTGAAATGTTACACTTGTTCTTATTTTCATCCTAGTGGTTTCAGCTCCAGGACTACTTGCCAGAGACGTGGATAGTCTAGCCCTTGGTATGAAGACTTTGCTGGTTCCAGACATGTTCCAACTGGACCCACTGGTGATACCTGTACCATTCAGACAAGAGGTGAGGCAAGCTCTGTACAGCACTAAAATGAACTTTTACCTACATAGATTTTTATGCTTTCCTCATCGGTATCTATTGATACTTAAATATCACTTCAAATAGAAAATGACAGGTCTGAGGTGTGTGTAAAAGTAGCTGACATGTTTAAATGTCTTGCATATTATAATACATTTCTCGTCTAAATTTTTCAAAGCTTGTAAAGGTTCAAAAGAAAAAAAAACCCAGGGACTAAGTCCAATTTGTTGAAATATCCTAATTCTTTTTCTGTGATATGTCCTTTCCATATACAGATATATGAAGACAAGAAGCCCATGAGGATAGGATACTTCACCACCCTACAGTCCTGCCCCCCCACCCCGTCTATGGGCAGGGCTGTCATCATGGCAAAGGAAGCCTTGGAGAAAGCTGGACACACGGTACAGGTTTTTATCAGAATTTCAGAAGGCAAAATTTCATATAAAATTTATTACTTGTGCTGTTGTAACAGTAGGGGGTTTTAAGTGCTACCAACTGATCTGTCTGACGGGTCTAGACTTTTAGTCAAATGGTTAGAGAGTTGGGGTATGAACTAGGGTCAGTGTGGGTTCGATTCCCGATCCGGGGCCAGGAGTGTCTTTCTGTTGCTACTCACCTCTTGTTTCACTGTAAAGTTTTCCATTGAAAAAAAAGGTGTTGTTCACAATGCCGTGTTTTAAACAAATGACCGTGAAGCAAAGTAGGATTACTGTTTTGTCCTATTAAGGTCCAGATTTGTTTGCTGTTTTTTAAACATGATTTGTGAGCAATATAGAGCTTATTAGATGATAGATTTTTTTAAATGGCCTTTATTCCAGCTGGTTGCCTTTGATCCACCAGACCAGATGTATGCCATCATTGATCTAGCCTTGAGACTCCTCACCTCAGATGGAGGACAAACATTCAACACAATGTGGCTGTGAGTATCACTTCTGTTCTATGTTAGAACTTGAGTTATAAATTCTGTTAGTTAGGCATTGTGAACTACTATGAAGCAAGCAATTTTGTTTGCCAACATGTAATTATATTGAGTACAAGATCAGCTCAATTTGCCACCTAGTGTATTGTTCTTGCAATCTGAGTAAGAAAATTGAAAAATTGGTCTTGTTTTGTTTTTGTTTTGACAGATGTTTTGTCCAGCAATCAGATGGTATTTATAAAATATCATTATCAAAAGAGTTAAGACAGCAAAAAAGGCATGAAGATTACTTTGTACATTATTAAGGAATAAATATTCTATATGATTCTTTTTCAGGAAAGACGAAATCGTGGATGAATGTATAAAGAGCCAAATCAGTCTCATGACCATGCCATACTACCTGCGAAGGATTGTTAGCTTTCTACTCAAGCCAATTGTAAGTCCTGGTATACTTATAAAATGTACAATGTGGGTTCTGATGTACAGTCTGTTCATCAAGTTCTTTATATATTATGTTTGTTGTATGAATGATTTGATATTACTTTGTATGTTTATGTGTGCATTTAAATTTCCTCATTATTTCTCATCTACAGTAAACATTTTGGATTTTATAATCTGCGTAAAGCTAGAAATGTAAATTATATATTTGTGTTTTCAGTGGCCAAGGATTAGTAGGTCCCTGTCTCACCGATTACTGGGGTAAGAAGTTTTAAGTTTTATCAAAGTTTTTAAAATCTGTATACAATGATTTTCTTGCCATTCCTATGTATAGTTATTATCTTTTATTGTTACCTTGTTCACCTTATCATAAGGAAGCTCTTGTATGCAATGTGTTTCAGTTACAGTGTGAGATTTTCTTTGTTAGGTCAATCTATGAACTCTGGCAAAGGCTGGTAGAGAGAGAGGTATGTAATATGTATATGTAAAGATAAATGGATAGATGGCTGGCTGGCTGGCTGGCTGGCTGGCTGGCTGGCTGGCTGGCTGGCTGGCTGGCTGGCTGGATGGATGGATGGATGGATGGAGGGATAGACGGATGGATGGATGGATGGATGGGCAGATGAATGGATGGATGGATGAATGGATGGATGGATGGATGGGCAGATGGATGGATGGATGGATGGATGGATGGATGGATGGATGGATGGATGGATGGATGGATGGATGGATGGATGGATGGATGGATGGATGGATTGGTGTATGTTACTGTATGACATTGTATATTGCATGTTTTCCATTAGGAGTACATCCAGACGTTCCTGGCAGAGTGGAAAGAGAAGGAACTTGACGTGTTGTTGTGTCCTGCGTTTGGCATGCCGGCCTGCAAACCTGAGCACGCTGGGCGCCTCATCAGTATGTCCATCATTTCTACTGACTTGTTCTCTTAATCTTTACATAATTTGCATACAAATTCAATTAGAGAAATGGTAAGTCCCAGTCATCAGTTTTATTACCATGTTTGATACAAATTAATATCAGGGTAATTTTTTCCTGACTAATGCCTCGCCTTGTTCCTAGCTAAGTTGTTACCTTCTAACATGATATTTTTCCTTTCTTCTTGTCTGTGCAGTTGCTGCAAGCTACACAATACTTTTCAACCTGCTCAACCTTCCGGCTGGAGTTGTTCCTGTTACCATGGTAACAGAAGAGGATGACATGCTATTGGATGACTGGCAGGGTTATGGAAATGACCTGTTCGACCGGCTTATCAGGAAGGTCGGGAGCTTTCCAGTTGTTTATAATTTGTTATCCATTTTATGATAGTGTAACAGTGGGGTTTATCCTCCGTTAACTGACCATGCTAAATGGTCGTGCGACATTTTAGTGTAGTGGTTAGCGTTGGTGACCGCCAAGCGGACAACTCGGGTTCGATTCCCGGTTGTGACCTGCTCGCCCCTTTCGGTTTTTACAGTGGCGCCCGATGTGGGCCCTGTGAGTACTGGCACTGAGGATAAGTGTGGCAGCTCCAGGGATGTCGGACTCGGAAGATTCGAGGACGAATCTTGAAAGAAAAGGGGGAGTAGTGTAACAGTGGGGTTTATCCTCCGTTAACTGACCATGCTAAATGGTCGTGCGACCTTTTAGTGTAGTAGTTAGCGTTGGTGACCGCCAAGCGGACAACTCGGGTTCGATTCCCGGTTGTGACCTGCTCGCCCCTTTCGGTTTTTAAAATAGCATTGTTGCTGGTGCATGTGTGCATATGTTACGTTTCAACATAGCACTCTTTTCCTAGCTGTTTTATGATGTATGATAAAGTTTGTTGTTTTCCACAGACAATCAAAGGTGCAGTAGGCCTGCCCCTGTCTGTTATATCATGTATGATAAAGTTTGTTGTTTCCCACAGACAACCAAAGGTGTAGTAGCCCTGCCCGTGTCTGCTATATCATGTATGATAAAGTTTGTTCACAGACAACCAAGGGTGCAGTAGGCCTGCCTGTGTCTGTTATATCATATATGATAAAGTTTGTTGTTTCCCACAGACCACTAAAGGTGCAGTAGGCCTGCCCGTGTCTGTCCAGTGTGTGGCACTGCCGTGGCAGGAGGAGAAATGTCTCAGGCTCATGAAGGAAGTGGAGACTCTGTGTCCTGTGTGATTTGTCAGAAAATATTGTCCTTTCTTATCTCTAGATGTATATTATCTACTTGTATGCAGAAAAAAAAGTAGGGAATAAATACTTCACAAATCACAATTATGATATAGTATACTATGCAGTACAAACAATTTTGAAATGCTTGAAAGCTAAGGTATGTGATTTTGGATGGAACTGCATATTATTTATGGTGCATAATTTTTAGACAGATACATATAGTGCATGGGATAAGTATGCAGCAGTACATTGCAAAACTAATTATCTAAAAGTGTTAAAGGTTCCATCAGTGTTACTAAAATGATAGTAAAAATTCAAATGTAAATCTGTCTCTTTTGATTACTAGTGCATGTACATGGACGGGACCTATCTTAAGTGCTGAACACCATCATACACACACAAGTAAACATGACTGTCCTTGGTGCTGAAAAACATCCACACAGGCAAATACACTTGTCTATGGTGTTGAACACTAAGAAAAGACAGAGACTGTCCTTGGTGCTGAACAACCTTCACACGCAGCCTAACACCTGTCCTTGGTATTGAACACCATCCACACAAACACAAGCAAACACACCTGTCCTTGGTGCTGAACACCATCCACACGAAGGTAAACACACAAAAGTTTTGTAAGCATTTGTATGCAGATGTTTTATTGCTGTATGCACATTAATGTACGGTACATCTGTTCTTCCTCTGGTCGTGCCTTTAAGCTATGATGCCGTCACAAGGATAGCTGCTACACGAGGCCGAGTAGTCCTGGCATTCACACAAAACGCAGAAGCCTGGAATCAGCTCTATAATGGCTGTCTCGCCTACAGCCAACGGGGGATACTGATATTGGTCCCATGGTTTGCTGTAGCAGGCTAAAAGAAAACAGAAGAAAACCATTAAAATCTTATCAAGCATTCAATGAAAATGTCTTAAAAGTTTGTAGAAAGAAAAGGGGTTGTGTGGCGTGATGGTAGCGTGTTCGTGCTCGGAAACAAAAATTACCGGGTTCGAATCCTGCCATGTCACCGATCGTGTGTCCTTGGGAAAGGCACTTTAAACAACATTTTTCACTTCATTCAGGTGTAAATGAGTACATGTACCTAGCTTTGGCTATGGATTTGTTCCCAGATAGGACGTAAAGCCAGAGGTCCCGTGTTTGGGAGAGCCACACCTTGTCCTTGAGCACGTTAAAAGATTACACCAAAAAGAGCAGTTCTTAAAACCTTACAGTTTGGTCTCAGGTTTGACATCTTGATGCACATACACACGTACCTCTGGGTGGACAAGGCTCGCACTGTTTGCCAGTCGCCAGACAGACACAGTCCTTACAGTGCCCTTCAAACTGCTCGCGCCAGGTTTCACCCAAGGTGTGCTGACCAGGCCAGGAAAAACCATAGCTCTCACATCCCTGCACATGCATAGATTATGACGCATTCATATTTAATGCCATGCATACGTAATGACCATTAACTGCCCCTGAGTTGAACTGTTCAAGAGACAAATGCCATGGCATACCAAATGTAACCATCCTAACTCTACATGTATAAACATGAAACATTTCAGACAATCATGTGCTTGCATTTCTCCATGTGTGCTTGCATTTCTCCATGTATTTCAATTTGCAAAGCAAATATTTCAAATGAGATTCAGTGATTGATATGATAAAGAGATATGCTACATATATTTGTTAAACTCGCTGTCTGAGTTTGTGTTAAATTTCAACTGTCCTACCATATGGTAATAAACGTCAACGTCTAGAAACATCCAATTACTACACAAATAAGCTTCTTACAATTATACACTCTAAGCTAGTAATGAGAGGAAATGTAGTACTTTTCTTATTTCATACCTGCTACCCATCTTGTCAATTTGCTACCTGAAGATTATTCATAAGAACTCACAGGAATGAAGGGAATTGTAGTTGTTATTAGCCAGGGTGGTACCGTTGTTGTCCAGGTTGTTGTTGGCTGGGTTGTTGTTGGCTGGGTTGTGTCTGCAGCAGAGGCAACCGTCACCGCTACAAGCAGTACCGTCAAGCTGAACATGTTGATTCAAAACGCCAACAAACTTTCTTTTTTATATCCTTCTTAGCTACTTTGCAAGCTCCTCTTTGTTTGATACTCCCTAGACTTTTTACTTTGAGAGTAAGGGTCACAATAGGGTTTATCAATAGCTTGTATCCTATGGCCAACATTGAACTGTCATGTTTCGTATGATGTTTTTGTTCCTCTTTTCAAAATTATGAGAATAGAATTTAAAAAGAACCATCCCCAGACCCCCCAATATACCCTCAAAGGCATCTGCTGTTTTCCCACATCAGAAATGGCAGTTTAGAATGTGCGTCACAAGAGGTCATTGGTTAGGACAGTTTGCTTGCTTGTATATATAACTTATTAGCCTGGTTGGACAGAATGTTAAATTACAACAAGGAAACTCTTGTATGCAGTGCGTTACAGTGTGAGATTTCCATTGTTTAGGTCAATCTACGAACTCTGGCAATGGCTGGTAGAGAGAGGGGGGGATATAATATGTATATGTCAAGATGAATGGGTGGATGGATGGATGGATGGATGGATGGATGGATGGATGGATGGATGGATGGATGGATGGATGGATGGATGGATGGATGGATGGATGGATGGATGACGGTCAGAAAGGTAATTTCAAGTTGTATGAGAGAAGTGGGATGTTCCACTCTATTGATTACTAGTACAGGCATATATGCATGGGGCCTGTCTTAAGTGCTGAGCACTATCCACACACACGAGTAAACATGCCTGTCCTTGGTGCTGAACAACATCTTTACAAAGGCAAATACTCTTGTCTATAGTGTTGAACACCATATACAAGTACAAGCAAACACACCTGTCCTTGGTGCTGAACACCATCCACACAAACACACCTGTCCTTGGTGCTGAACACCATCCACACAAAGGTAAACATACAGAAGTTTTGTTAGCATTTGTTTTATGGCAGATGTTTTATTGCTGTATGCAGATTAATGTACGGTACATCTGTTCTTCCTCTGGTTGTTCCTTTAAGCTATGACACCGTCACAAGGGTAGCTGTTACAGTGAGCCCAGTAGTCCTGGCAGTCACACAGCACACAGTTGCCTGGACTCAGCTCTATAATGGCTGTCTCGCCTGCAGACATCTCGCCATAATATTGCAGTATGTCCACTGGTCTGAAGCAGCCTAAAAGAAAGAAAGCCCTTAAAATCTTATAAAGCATTTAATCAAAATGTCAAGAGAAAAGAGTACAGTTGTCATACACACAAACACATGGGCACACACGGTGTTTCCTCGTGCATACACACGTACCTCTGGGTGGACAAGGCTCGCACTGTTTCCCGGTTGCCAGACAGACACAGTCCTGACAGAACCCTTCAAACTGCTCGTGCCAGGTTTCACCCAAGGTGTGCTGATTAGGCCAGGTACAACACGTGCTCTCACAACCCTGTACATGTATAGATTTTGACGCATTAATACATGCATATATGATAATCATTAACTGTCCCTGTGTTGAACTGTTAAAGAGACATATCATGGCATACAACATGTAACCATCATAACTCTACATGCCTAAAACATGTATGACACATTTCAGACACTTGTTTGCTTGCATTTCTCTATGTATTTCAATTTCCAAAGCAGATATAGCTTCAGTGATAGATATGCTACATATATAGATCGAACACACAGTCTGAGCCTGTGTTGGGTATTTCAACTGTCCTACCATATGGTAATAAAACTCAAGAAATCAATAGAAATATGACTAAGTCTAGAAATATCCAATTACAATCTTCTTATATATAAATCCACACTCTAAGTCAGTAATGAGAGAAAATGTAGCACATCCATGCATAATTTTCTTGCTTTCATATCATCTACCAATCTTGTCCATTTACTCAGAGTATTCATAAGAACTCACAGGTACGAAGTGCGTAGTTGTGGGTCTGAAGGTAGATGTTGGCCGCGTAGTACTGACAGCAGCAGAGGCAACTGTCACCGCCAAAAGCAATACCGTCAAGCTCAACATGTTGACTCAGAACGCCAACCAACAAACTTACTTTTTTGTATCCTTTTTAGTAACTTCTTTGCAAGCTCCCCTTGTGGGATACTTTTTACTTTCAGAGTGAGAGTCACAATAGGGTTTATCAGTAACTTTTATGATCTTTTTTTTTTCTGGCCAAGCAATACCAAACCGCATCCTGTTGCCAACATTGTTCTGTAATGAGAATTCAACATCCCCAGACCCCCCAACACACCCTCAAAGGCATCTGCTGTTTTTCCCACATCAAAGATGGCAGCTAGCTTCAGAATGTGCGTCACATGAGATCATTTTTTGATTAGGACGGTTTGCTTACTTGTAAGCCTGAATGCTAAATACAACATGTGACGTCATCTGGAACTGTCTTGATTCCAACATACGTTGTGCGTCTGTGTTTAGATATGTTCTTAAAAACTCCTGAGACATTCCTATGTATCATTTCATTCATAAATGAGAAGCAGTACTTTTGTTAGTCTACTTATCTATCGACCATAACTCTTAATTTTTTGTTTTATAGTTTATCCATTATAGCATTAATTGATTAAAGCACACTACTTCAAAATCTAATTTTCTTTTAATGTAGTATATAACTATAGCCGAAGACACGAAGATACCAAAAACGGACGTGCCTTTTTAAAAATTTCGTCAAGGTACATGATCAATCTTAAGGTAAGGCATATTATCACGTGCCGTCCATTGAACAAAACAGCCAACTTTAAGGCACCCGAAGTAATTTCATGGCAGTAAAACTGATTTTTCAGTTTAAAAATCGTCGTTTAAGAGTAAAGATCACTCGAAGATCGAAGTAATATGATACAAGTATGTCGCGTGAAATGTATCCTTGTTATACCGAGTCATTATAGACGTATTCCTATAGAGGCATTTATGGCAATACCTTTATTTCATGTTTCGAAGTTGTCACCTACTAGCAAGAAAATGTTCTTGTTTCAGTTTAAAAGATAAATGGGTCAAAGAAAGATCATTTATTGGAAAATTACTAAGGTGTGTTTTCCTCCTAAATTTATAACGATAAAGTTGATTGATGAGGATAGAAAACTGAAAATTTCGGATTTGAAAGATAACAAAAAGCTATAATTTAATCATTGTAGTTTTCAGGCCTGCGTGTGTGATGATTGGCCTGTTGTTAATCTTATGTTAACTTGATTAACGAATTCAAATTTTGCTCATGATTTACAGGTGGCACGCACCACCTGTGCGTGAAACACGCCGCTCCAACATGGCGCGTGTGCACGGAAGGGAAGAACGAGCGGGTAAAAATTCCGCCCAGGAAGACGCGCTACGCCCGTTTTGGTGGTAAGTTGTGCTTTAAATTGTCGTAGATACTCTCCGGACTATTGTGGATAAATCTCCTTTAAGTTAAATGAAGCAAAAAGACAGAATTTTGAAAATAAGTTGCGGCAACTGTCCCCCACGAGTTAGCGCTGCACCAAGTTAAGCAACCGATGGGGGCGCTTTTGTGTGGTCCAGTAAGAAGATAAAAAGGCTCTTTCATTTATTCATTTTTTTTGCACCGTACCCACACCAGTTCTTTGAGCATGGGTCAATTACTATTCAATGAGGGTGAAATTAATGATGCTGAAATAGAAAAACTGATTAAGAGGTGCATTTTATACATAATCCGCTGAGAGGCGCTTTTATGTGACCCCTGACCTGAAGAGCTTTGCTTGAAACTTGGTATGTTGTTGTTGTCGTCCTGTATGTTTTGGTCAAATTCTATACGTTTCAATGTAAAGCAAAAGTGTTACGAGGCCAAGAGCAGACAGAGGGGACACGATAGTACCATTTGTGAAGAGGATGACATGAACAAGGTGATAGATTTGGAAGGAAAGGAGACAGACGACCGTTAAGTTCGAGTGGGGAGGGGGGGCGGTAACAGAGTTGTTTATGTATCGAAGACCATATCCAGGGTAATGATATACATCACATAGTGCTCAGGATGGTATATTTGGAGGTAGAAAAGACACCAAGAATCCGCCATGAGGTTGACTGAGAAGCGGTGTTTTGGTCTAGAACAGGTCAGGACTTTTATGCATGTTAACCAATAAAGCTAAGTTGTTGAGCGGTAAAAAAAAGACTCTCGAACTTTACTGGTAAAATCTGAGATTAAAATGTTTATATCAGGTGAGAACAATCTGAATTTTGCATTTTACCTACAACTATTTGGCGTTACTTGAGACAATTATATAACTTCTAATGTCTGCATAGTTAGGTGTCTGCTGACTGATGCAGTAGTGAAGACTGAACCTGACATTCGACCACATCAGATGATTTGAAGGTCCAAGAGGAATATTTGTTAGGTGAGAAAAATTCCAATTCTGCATTTTACCTACATACAGCTATTTGCTCTTATTTGAGACAAGTGTGTAACTTCTAATGTCTGTGTAGTTAGGTGTCTGCTGACTGATGCTGATGCAGTAGTGACAACTTTTGTCTGAACCTGACAAAACAGATTGGACCAATGATTTGAAGACCAAAGAGGCATATCAGGTGAGAAAAATCTGAATTTGCATTTTACCTACAGTTAATTTGAGACAAGTGTGTAACTTCTAATGTGATGGCTGATGTAGTAGTGAGAACTTCTGTCTGAACCAGACAAGACAGATTGGACCACATGAGATGATTTGAAGACTCAAGGGAATATTAGGTGAGAAAAATTCCAATTCTTCATTTACCCACCATTTACTTGGTAGTGTTTGAAACAAGTGTGTAACGTTTAATGTCTGTATAGTTAGGTGGCTGCCGACTTGTATAGGAGTGAAGACTACTGTCTGAACCTGACAAGAGAAGATTGGACCAGATGATTTAAAGATCGAAGAGGAATATCAGGTGAGAAAAATCCCAATTATGCATTTTACCTACAACTGTATGGTCTTATTTGAGACAAGTGTGTAATTTGTAATGTCTGTATAGTTAGATGTCTGCTGACTGAAGCAGTAGTGAAGACTTCTGTCTGAACCTGACAAGACAGATTGGACCACATCAGATAATTTGATGATCCAAGAGGAATATCAGGTGAGAAAAATTCCAATTCTGCATTTTAACTACCAATTTACTTGGTATTATTTGAGACAAATGTGTAACTCTTAATGTCTGTAGACATTGTAGTTACATGTACTGTAGGTGGCTGCTGACTGATGCAGTAGTGGGGACTACTGCCTGTACCTGACAAGACAGACTGGACCAGACCAGATGATTTGAAGACCCAAGAGGAATATCAGGTAATAAAAATCCCAATTCTGCATTTTACTTACAGCTATTTGATGTTATTTGAGACAAGTGTGTAACTTCTAATGTCCATATAGTTAGGTGGCTGCTGACTGATGCAGTAGTGGGGACTACTGCCTGTACCTGACAAGACAGACTGGACCAGAGCAGATGATTTGAAGACCCAAGAGGAATATCAGGTAATAAAAATCCCAATTCTGCAGTTTACTTACAGCTATTTGATGTTATTTGAGACAAGTGTGTAACTTCTACTGTCTGTATAGTTAGGTGGCTGCTGACTGATGCAGTAGTGGTGAATTCTTCGTAAACCTGACAAGAGAAGATTGGACCAGACCAGGTGATTTGAAGACCAATGATGACTCTCAGGTGAGAGAAATCTGAATTTTGCATTCAACATACTGTTTACTTTGTTATTTGAGACAAGTGTATAACTTCTAATGTTTGTACAGTTAGGTGGCTGCTGACTGATGCAGTATTGAAGACTACTGTCTGAACCTGACAAGAGAAGATTCGGATCGGGTGATTTAGAGACACAAGAGCAAGATGACAACAACAACATCCACAGGTGAGATAATGATTGCTTTTGAAGATCTGTTTGACTCTAGCACTCCTCCCTTACACTATGTCTTACACTTTATTAAAATAACACACTTGTAGCAAAACATCTTTCACAATAATTTTGTATTGCCTTTGACTTGAATAAATGACTACACAACTATGTTAGACTTTTTGGCACTTGTCAACATTTCTAGGAAGAGGCAAAGTAAAAGGTTGCATACAAGAGTTCATCTTTACCTGGTAACTAGTTACCCATTCAAATACAATAGCCATGTACCTGGCATCAATTGCTCTTTTATAATTATGTAGGTATAATTAGGGTCAGCAGTCCTGATGTTCCTGTCCAAACCAGGTTAGATGAGACAGCTGACTTGGAAGTTGAAGACAGAGTAAAGAGTTCGTACAGGTGAGACGATGCTTTCCAACTTTATTTCTACTGTGTGTTAAGAACTAAGAGGCAATAAAAAGCAACACTTTGTACATAGCTAAGCAATCAATCGCAAGCATCATCTAAGCAAAAAGATAGTTAAATTGCAGGATTTTATCATTATCTTTCATAGTCACCTAGTTGCCTGGAAATTTTTTGGGGGAACATCACACATAACACTAATTATTCATTATATTAGTTAGGTGTGTCCTGACGTTCCTGCCCTGACTGGGAAAAACCTGCGATGACGGCTGAGCAAACCAGTTGACCTGAAGACACAGAGTTTGTACCTGCAGGTGAGACAATACTTAACAACAGTGTCATAGATTTTTCCTTTCCTATTGGATGTATTATTAAGAGCTGTGGCATAGCTTGCTACCAGTAACACTTTGAAAAGCCTATCTTTTTGTGCAACAATTCAAGCAACTTGCTTGACAACTTACATGCCTTATTTCTTGCCTCACATGTTATTATTAAGAACTCTGAGGTGTAACATGCTACAAGTACAATACATTTTGTAACACTTTTAAAAGCAGCTTTCTAGAGCCTAACTCTTTTAAAATCTATTCAATCAATGGGATAGTTGAACTGCATGATGCTATCATTAGTTTGGTTATTCAGTGTTGCCTAGGGATGTTTTTCCATCACACATCCTTTTATATTATTTTTAGGTGTGTGCTGAGGCTGTCTAGTCTGGGAGAAACCTGCGAGGACGGCTCAACAACCATTTGACTTGAAGATGCAGAAGGAAACGAAGACAGCAAAGCAGTCAGAGAAGACAGTGGGCACAGTTGTAACTTGTGAGTATATTTTATTTGTTCAGCAACACACCCAGGCTAATAAATTTCTATCCTATAATC